TGAAGCAGAAACTTTTGTGAAAACCAGTGACTGCTAACCAAATCATAAAATTCATGTGCACACTCATAATCACAGCATCATTAGAGTTATCTTTTTCATCCATAGAGGGTGCTTCCACACAGAGTCCACCACTCTGTTGAGTGATTCTATGTTAGAGAAAAACTGTTGTGATTAGCAAGGCGTGTGGAACTCAACCTCAATTACATCAGAGTCTAATGGCCCAGCAATCATGGAATTTTTAGTGAACAATCATGCTCCCGTGTCAATCTATCATGGCAAAAATATGGAGATTACCAGAGGGTGTCTAAAAGAATGGAAGGTCAAATTACTTACCTTGTGCAAAGGAAGTACAAGGAATTCTCCTCTGATACTCCCCTATTTAATCATACAAGACTGATAACCCGGATGTCGTCGTAACACTGGTCATTTTCACCACTTTCCCAAACACACGCTGAAACTTGCTCTGGTATGCAGTAGCCTCATGGTGTCTGCAAGGAGCAGGAAGTATGTCAGAACTTCACCGAACTGGAAATGCTGCTTTCCCAAATAAAGAGCTGCAAGTAGGAAACAGAGTGGTGTGGCATTCTGTCTGCTCTCTGAAAAAGCAGTCAAATTGCAAAGCCAAATTCCCTTTAAAAGCACATACCCATAATACATAAGGGAAAGAATTATAAGAATTCAATATGTTCCTACATCTCATAAGTTTTCATCTCAGGGGAAAGATCAAGGGAAGAAATGAGGAAAACAGCCTTTTAGGGCTCAGAGGAAACTTAGAGGTAATTTAACCCCTCCTTTTACAGATAAATAATGATTAAGTTCAGTTCCGTGGTAAAATTGAAGCTGAAGAAAACCCTGCCTATGTTAGTTTTCAATTTTTAAACATTATCTTCAGACATTAGCACTCTGCTGTCTGAGAACTGTGCTTGCTCACCAGAGTGTTTCCACAAGACCAACTATGTGTGGTAGGGAATTCAAGAGACAAAAGCAACCGTCCTTGTCATCAAGACCCTTCCAATCCCTCTCTAAAACAGGGGTAATATGCGCAGCAACTCAGTACCAACCTGCCTGGTACTGAGTGCTATAAGGTCAGACACAGGTAAAATAAGTCTAGCCTAAAGTAGCCAGTGGGTCAAGAGCCAGGTCTTGGAAAACCGTAGCAAGTATTTAAAGTAATGTGATGCAGTTAATGGATACTTCCTAGACACAACCAAATACCTCACGGGATTGACCTACTGGGTTTGAGGGCTTAGGACCATAGTCTAGTGGGGAAACTCAGTTACTTGGCCTAATGTAGTCCACAAAGACAAGGTTCTACACCCTAGTTTGGTGAGTAGCATCTGGGGTCTTAAAAGCTTTCGAGCAGACATTTAAGATAACAACTATTGTTCTCTACTCGTTCGGAGCTAAAGAGAAAGAAGAAAATCAAAGACTCAAAGAAGAAACTAGTCTACACAACCAATAGTATACACAAACAAAGACATCACTTACCTTGAGACCAGAAGAACCCGATGGTGTGCGGCTACCACTACAGGAACCCAACAGATGGTCTCAGATAGAATGGGAGAAAAATGTAGAAAAGAACTCAAATTCCTAAAAAAAAGGCCAAACTTACAGGACCAGTAGAGACTAGGTGAACCCCCGAGACTACTGTCCTGAGATACTCTTTAAAACTGGAACTCAAACCACTCCCAGAGGTCACCTTTCAGCCAAATGACAGATTGGCCCATAAAATAAATAATATCACCCATGAGTACTATGCTCCTCAAAATAATTGTCTAGCTGAAACCAAATGGTTAACATTTGCCCTAGACCAAAGATGAGAAGGCTAGGGGGGACAGGGAAGCTAGATTAATGGAAACAGAACACCCAAAATGGAAATAACGAGAATACTGATATCATGTGAAGGATGTAACCAATGTCACTGAACAATATGTACAGAAATTGTTAAAATGAGAAACTAATTTCTTGTGTAATCTTTCACCAAAAACACAATATTTAAAAAAAGAAAAAGAAAGTAGTGTGATGAAAGTGGTGTTTAAAACGATAATCATTCTGTCAGTGGCATATTACATGAATAAAACAAGATGTAGCTAAAAGCCAGGTCCTGGGCTAGGAAGCTGTAACAGTAAATCAGGCCTGAGAAAGTCCTGGAGTGATGATGATGGCAGGAGTGGGACAGAGGAATGGACAAAGTCAAGATTTACTCTGGAGGGGGGAAAACCAGAACGGGTTTTCATGTTAGAGTTGAAAAGTCACCACAGCCACTTACCTAGTAAACTTGGAGGTCTGGGGGAGGGTAGGAGACACAGAGCTGGTGTCCCTGGGCTTCCTCCTCGGTCAGTTTAGACTCCACATTCCACTGGGTTGTGCACGCAGAGCTCTGTGCTTTAGGATCCCCAGTCCCCAACCTGATCCCATGGCTTGAATAAAAGCAGGATAGCAGGAAGTATTGTGAGCAGAAGGTTAGCACAAAGAACAGAGGCTTTGCATTTCTAATACTTTTAAACAACTGAGTTTATATTTTGTAGCAACCTCTCAAAATTGCCAGAAATCTGTCTCTCTCTCTCAAACACACACACACACACACACACGCACGCACGCACGCACGCACGCGCAATTACAAAACAATTCTTTTTGTGACCACTTATCATACCATCAATCACTAATACAACATAACCCAAGGGTGCAGTTTTTCAAATTTGAATACTGGACCAATGAACTTCTAAACCATGAGATCAATGAAGAGTCACTCTATTTTAACTTACTCAGTTTTTGTCAAAGTCTCAAGTCAAAAGAATTCCAAGCACATTGCATCCTTGGGGCTCCAGGGGTTATTCAAATACCCTCCATCCCTGCCCTCTTGACCCCTCTGGGGCTGGGACCTGGGGTCTCCTCAGGGTCCACCTTCAACAAACCCCATATTCTGCTCCCCTAGGGAGGTAGATTAAAGGCCGAGAAATTCGAGGAGAAGCATGTTCCTCCTGACTACCATCTCTACAAACACACCCAAAGTATGCCGCTCACCAGAGCACAGGTGCCTCAGGAGCTGCTGCCACCACCAAAGTCCCGGCTGCGTATCCGTACCCGGTAAAGCCTCCAACCACCACCGCCTCAGACTGCCCTAGACGGCCCTGAACGCTACGGGGGCGGGGCCCAGGCGGCCACCGTACCCGCCTCCAGAAACAGGACCCGCCCTTGCGGTTCGCCACCAATCAGGGCAGCTGGACTGGAGTTGGCCCCGCCCACTTCCAGATGGCCTTGCTTCTCATACTCTATGCTCCTCCCCCAGCAACATCTGTGGTCATAGGGAGGGATATGCAGGTGTGTGGTGGAGGAAGTCTGGCCCTAGGAGCCAGAATAGCTCGTCCTTTGGACCCGGGGTCCCCGCACTGAGAAGCTCCTTGATTGGGGGAGATTAATGACAAGGACCTTCTCCCAGAGCCGGCAGACAGAGAAAGCCTTCCCCTGGAGCTGGCACCCTGAATTTGGACTTTTAGCCTCCTCAACTGTGAGAGAAGAAATTTCTCTTTGTTAAAGCCATCCACTTGTGGTATTTCTGTTATACCAGCACTAAGATAACTAAGACACCCAGGGACTGTGGTCAAGATCTGGCCCTGGCAGCCAGAGAACTTCTCTGCACCACAGAGGCTGCATCCGCACCTTCTCCAGTGAGGTCTGAAGTCCATCCTTGGGTAGGGGCCTCTCCTGTTTCCTTCCTTGTGTATCTCCCTTAGGACAATCGTTTAGAGTTCTCCTTACGTTTTATGTGGTTACTCTCCTATTGTAGCTCAATAATTTTTTAAACTTCCCCGTTTAAAACACTGTGTGGTTTCTGTCTCCTGGATGAACCCATATCTGAAACTTGAGTGATTTCATTTTCTCCTTCATGTGGACCTCTGTTTTCTGATTTTTCTGCAAAGAGTTTACATTACTCGTGTGAGTACTTAAAGTTCACATTCATACATCACCCCTTCCGTGAGGCCTTTCCTGATTTCCCAAGCTTGGTTCATTATTCCATCCTTTGTGCTGACTTTTAATGTGCTTTTAATTAGAGAGCTTAGTAACAACAATACTGTAATGGAAATAATAACAAGACCTGCAGGTATTCCTGTGGAGGAGATGCCCCTCAACAGATGGAAATCTACCACAGGACAAGACTCAGACCACCATGGCACATGCCACACAGAACACAAGAGGTCTCCCAGCCTCCGGCGGAATAGGCTTTAGGCCTAGTGGCTAATAGCTGGTGTGACCGCTTCTGTCAACCGGGATGCCCCATCCATTCCCACCAATTGGGTAACTTTTTGTGTAAAATAGCCAATTGTCCTGATCACTAGCTTTTTGGTTGGGAGCAATAGAAATGAATTTTTGTCCTCTTACTACACAAACAGCCTCAGGTGTCAGGGTCCTTGGAGTTTTGGGAAGGCGGACTCCACAATTTAAAGTAGGAAGTCATGACAACACTAAAAAAACAAACATCACAAAGAAGTTCAGGGTAAAGCACAAGCACACCAGCAGGAAGCAGTGGCTTCCCAGGCTGCTGATGCTGTGTGGGGAGATATGTAAACACAAAGCATCAAATTAGATTATGGGTAAAAGATATAAACTGACTTTTCACTGAAATGGTACATGGATTCAGTGGCTATAAGCACTTGAAAAGATGTCATCTATCTATATCTGTACCTGAGTCTGTTCCCTGAGAGAATCTTGACTAAGACACACACATTCCATGGGGAATTTGGGCATTTTCTTGAAAGCAACTGAGAGCCCCAAGTAGATTGAAGCAGACATGACAGTATGATATTAGAAAGATCTCTGTGGCTAATGTGTGAAGGACAAATGATGGAGTCCAACCAGAGACAAAGGGAGACTTTGCAGTTACCCAAGTAAATGGTGCCATTCAGTTTCTGCTCCAGTGGAGGTAATCTGGGGATCATGATGAAGTAACTCAAGACAGAGGTTAAGGAGGAAAGTAAAAAATACCTGGGCCCATCCTAACCTTACCGCTTACATATATGGATTTAAAATATCTTTGGGATAACGTTAAATTCAACTTTGGAAAGTAAAAGATGCTTGTGTAACAGGCAGGCAATTCAGTCAGTTACTAGTTCACTTGACACATACATTGAGCACGTGGTATGTTTCAGGCACTGTCCTTTGTCCAAGAATCAAGAGAAAATCTCAGACAAAATTCCAGCCCTTGTGGAGTATACATTCTATTGGAGGGAAAAGAATGTGTATAACAAACACAAGTAATTGTTTTAGTATGTTAGAAGGTAATAATTCTATGGGTCAAAAGTAATCTATAGAGATAAAGAGATTGGGGGTAGGAAGCAGCATGGGTTTGATTTTCAACAGATTGGACAGGCTAGGCCTCATCATAAGGTGAGTGTGAGCAAAGTTTGAAGGAGGTGATAGAGAGAGTCATGCAGATATCTGAGAGAAGAGCATTCCAGGCAGAGGGAACAGGGACACACAGAGCAGAAGCATGTCTGTTGTCTACAGGGAGCATTGAGTAAGCCAACGCTGCAGGAATGGTATCAGCCAGGGGAGTGCAGGAGATGAGGACAGAGAGGGACATGGGACACAGATCATGGAGGGCCTTGTAGGTCAGTGTAAGAAGTTTGGATTTTACTGAGTTGAGAATGGAGAGGGGGATTTTGAGCAGTGAGATCAGAGGGCCTTGAGATGACTTGCATTTTAATGAGACCATTCTGGCTTCTGATAGAGAACAGCCTGCAGGAGCAAGCAGGGCAGCAGGAAGACCAGACAGGAGGCCATCACAATGGTCCAGAGAGAGTCTGTGGTGGCTTGGACAGGGTGGTAGCCATGGAGGGGGATGCAAGGCAGTCAGATTTGCACAAATTTGAAGCAGTTAATGCTGGACTGAATGTGCATTGGTGTGAGAGTGAGGGAAGTGTGAATGGACGTGTCAGTTTAGGCTAAAGAAGATACTTCTTTATGGAGAGGGCATTTCTCTGATGAAAAGGGCGTAGAGTGAGACCCATAAACAATAAAACATAAAAACTGATAAATTGAACTTCATAAAAATTTAAAACTTTTCATCTGAGAAAGACCTTTAAGAGGATGGAAAGACAAGCGATGGATGGAGAGAAAAAGGATTTCAAACTACAGATGTGAAAAAGATCTCACATCTGGAACACACACATACACTTTAAACTTTTTATATATTATGTATACGCATGTGCGTGTGTGTGTGTGAAACTAATTGTAAAACAAAAGATCACATTAGAAAATGGGTAAAAAGTTATAAACAGACTTCTCACTGAAATGGGTACATGGATGGAAAATAACCACATGAAAACGTGTTGGACTTTATTCACTATCAGGGACGTGCAAATCAAAACCATAATGAGATACCACTTCACACCCATTAGGATGGTTATAGAAAAAAGGCAGATAATAACAAGTGTTGTCAAGGGTTTGGAGAAAATTGAACCCAAATACACTACTGGTGGTGATAAAAATGATGTAGCCACTTTAAAAACAGTTTGTCTGTTCCTCAAACAGTGAAATGTAGAGTCACCATAAACCCGTTGCCATCGAGTCGATTCTGACTCATAGTGACCCTACAGGACAGAGTAGAACTGCCCCATAGGGTTTCCAAGGAGCATCAGGTGGTTTTGAACTGCCAACCTTTTGGTTACAGCCATAGCTCTTAACCACTACACCACCAGCGTTTCCGGAGTTACCATATGACCCAACAATTCCACTCCTAAGTATACACCCAAGAGAAATGGAAACATATGTCCACACAAATATTTGCACATGAATGCTTATAGTAGCATTATCCCTAAGAGCCAGAAAGTGGAAACAACCCAAGTGTCCATCAACTGATGACTGGATAAATAAAATACAGTATAACACTTACAAGAGAATAATATTCGGCTATGAAAAGGAAATGAAGTAGTGATATATGCTACGGCATGGCTGAACCTCACAAACAGTATGCTGAGTGAAAGAAGCCAGACACAAAAGGCCACATATTGTAGGATTCCATTTATATGAAATGTTCTGAATAAGCAATTCCAAAGAGACAGACAGGAGATTAGTGGCTCCCTAGGCCTTGAATATTGGAGTGCTGGCTAATGGGTAAGGTGTTTCTTCTGGGAGGAATGATGAAAATTCTGAAATTGATGGTGATGAAGTTTGTAGAATTATGTGAGCTTTAGGGATTGAATTCTGTCCTCCTCTCCCCCTAAGTAAGTGTTGGAATCCTAACCCCTATACCTATGGCTGTAATCTCATTAGGAAATAGGGTTTCCTTACTTACGTTAATGAGGCCCTATCAGTCTAGGGTGTGTCCTAAACCTAATCACTTCTGAGTTGTAAGCAACAGCATAGACACAGAGACAAGGAAGTACAGATGAGGGAGAGGGGAGACCAATCCTAGATGATGGTGGAGGCAGATGAATCTACAAGCCCAGGAACTCCAAAGATTGCCAGCTACTAGAAGCTGAAATAGACAGAGAAGGACCTCCCACTAAAGCCACACTCTGAATTGCAATTTCTACCTTCCTGAACTGTGGCAAATAAATGTCTGTTCTCTAGAGCCCCCATTTGTGGTGTTTCTATTGCAGCAGCACTAGGAAACTAAGACAGTGAATATACCAAAAACCAGTGAGCTGTACACTTTACAGGGGTGAGTTGTATGGTGGGTGAATTATATCTCAATAAAGCTATTACAATTTTCAAAAATACAATGTAAGCTCTCAGAAAGCAGTATAGAATAGTGCTCACTCATTTTAAAGGATCTGAACCAGGACACTGAAAACTCTGAGATTCTATTAACATTCCAGGTACAAGGTTATACAGAAATTTTCATAAGCATTTTAATGTTTTAGTACAGAAAAGGCATTTAAATTTAAAAAAGACATATCTACAAGTGTCATAAAGGAGTTTTCACAACTCAGGGAGAGGATAACACAGGGAGGTCATTAAATGGAAAGCAAAGAGTCTGGATCACATAAATCTGCACCCTGAAAATGGAAGTGACACCCAAACATATTATTTTATTCATTATTGCTCCACCCACCAAAAGGGGGCCAAAGGTAAAACAACCCCAT